ATTTTCTATACCATGTTGGAGGGTCAGATTTTGTCTAAATGAATGAAGGGTCACAATTTTAGTTCCAAAAAGGAATTCAGTGGTTTCATACCCATGGTCCTTTTGTATCCAAATTCAGTTGATTTATACTTAGTTTCAGTCAGTCCATTTTTGAACCACTGGTCAATTTGTACCCATCCCAATAAACATCCATTTAAAATACGCCAACTGAGAGCACATGGACAGATACTGATAATATTGCATGGCAAGTTAGCACAGTCAAGCGAGTAAGACTCAAGCCAAGTTCTGCTATTTATGCTTGTGACCTTCTTAAAAAAAAAACCATTAAATTATTGCCTAGTGCAAGGTAAGTGTGATGTTTTTGATAGCATAGTCTATTGTTTATACTGTAAAATTCTTAAAAGTAACAGCTAGTGTAAGTGACTTTTTCCTTTACCTTTGTTATCAACCGTAATAAATTTTTTCATTCTTGTTCATTCGTTTGTTCTATTCTTACTGTAAACATACTTAACATGTAAAACAAACTTTATTGGACAGTATGGGTACAAATGACTCAACTGACTGAGTGCGAATTGACTTTTCTGTGTATGAAACGACCAGTATATATGGTTTGTGCTATGGTTCAATTTGCATCTTTTTAACCTGTTTGATTCCCATTTTACCTTGTTTCAGATCATGATAGTGAGTTGAAGACATGTGAAAATAATTTCACTAAATTTTAAACCAAAGGAAAAAGAAACAAAACAACAACATATGCAAGAGGCTATTTGCATAAAACCAAAAAAAGAAAAAATGCAATACCTATGAATCTGGCCTGGCCCTAACCCTTTTATCTGTGGCACCAATAAAAAGGATTAAAGCTCTTAAACAAAATTGCTATAGTAATACAGACAATTATATCCCTTCAATATCACTTACAAAAATAGTTGGTTTCGGTTGGTGTGCTGCAGAGCTGGATGTGTCTTGAGCCATAGAAGTTCTAATGCATGATTCTTGGCCACGGACACCTGTAGATGTCCTTGTAACTTGTGCAGTAGAACCTCTTGAGGACTTTAGACCAAGAATGGCTTGTTTCATCACTGCCATCTCCTTTAAAAGGAAAAGGTCCACAAAAATGAGTGAACCAGCCATAAACTAACCCTATCACTCTCAAGATCTCATTAGTAATTCTCCTTGCTGACTGCTAAACAATTCTTATGATTATGTTAGTTTGAAGAATTTGCTATTGGATCAATTAAAGATACCCTTATTTATACTTTTCTTTCATTCCCATCACTTGTCTGCTTGATATTGTGAAGGTTGTCCAATACACCCAAACCGCTATGATTTGTCAGAGGTAGCTTGCAAATTGTTCTACCAGAAGTCAGATCAATTCAACCTGAGTCGAATGACTCCTCAGTTTAAGTCGACCCGTGATACTCGAAGTCGATTTGCAAGACACTTAGAAAATATTCTGCAAGTAACTACCAGGGGTTTTTGAAAATGTTGCTGAACCAACTTGATTTGACTTGAGTCCAACTACTCATCTCAGTTAAAGTTGAACCATCACACCAGAAGTTGATTTGCAAGACACTTAGAGAATATTCCACAAGTAACTACCAAGGGTCATTGAAACTGTTGTTGAATCAGAAGTCGATTTACAAGACACTTAGAAAATTAACAACCAATGTAAAACCAAATAAGTTTAAAACCCTCTTTCCTACAAAATGAAGGACTGTGAGAAGACAAAATAAATTAACACAATCTTTGTAAAAGCCAGCCATGTTGCCTTCAGGTAACATGTCTCCAAAGTTGTCATTTTCAAAACAAACACTTAGAAAGGAGGTAATCACATTACAAATCTTTTGCAAATCGACTTCTGATGAGACGGATCAACTTTACTAATGACGAGTTGTGTCGACCCATGCAAATCATGTGGATTCATCAACATTGAATACCCCAATTTAACGCTTACTTCTGTGAATTGACTTCTGGTGACAGATCAACTTTACTAATGATGAATCGAGTTGAGTCGATTCATGCGAATTGTGTTAATTCATCAGCATTGAATACCCCATTCCGACAATGGACTTCCAACCATTTCATGCTTTAAGAACGTGGAAGGTTCATGTTGTCATTTTCTCTTTTCATAAGGCTACTCATTTTCACATATTGCTCACCCCCCTGGACTTCCACCATGTTAACACACAATTTGACTTCTGGTATACCATGCTACTCCTTTTCACACATTGCTTACCACCCTCCACTTCTGGTATGTTAACACACAATTCGACTTCTGGTACATCGATTCGTCAACGACCGTAGATGAATCATAGTGATTTCGGTGTATTGGGCATGTATTGATATTGTAGGGAGAAATTCTGTCTTGGTCAATTGTGGGAGTCAAAGGGTTTACTTAATATGCTTTCACACAAAGCGGGGCTAGACAAATTAAAAGGAAATCACTGGCTACTTTCAACTGAGGTTGTCAATTACTTGTACCATACTTCCTCAGATAAGTGCCCAGATGCTTGTTCAAATTTTTGGCTAAAAAGGAGGGCAGTCTTATTGAAAATAGGGCACTTTATCAAGGTGGGGTGCTTATTCATTATCATCCACTTTCTTCAAACGCATCCTGACAACTTAACTATCATAGAAATAACTGGTACTCAAAGACTAGAGAATGGTCTTGTTGGTCCTGGGAAGTTTATAGCATTTACCAATAGTGCAGCAATTGGAACAAAAATTAAAAGAACAGCAGGCACATGGAGATAGAAATAAGTGGAAGTAATCTAATAGAAAAGAAAGTACTCTCCTTTACTGATTCTGCAATAGTTGAAGCTTAAAAAGTTAGTGATAGAGTGGCAATAGGAATAGGTTGTCCTTGTACCCCTTCTTTTTAAGAGGTGGGAGACAAAGTGGGGGGGGGGGAAGGGGGGGAGGAGGTCTGCATATTCAAGGTGGCGCTTATTTGACACCATCACCTAAGGGGTGGGTGCTTATTTGTGACTGGGCACTTATTAGAACATGGGCATTTATTCAAGGAAACACAGTATCTAAATTTTTTTAGGCCCCTGAGAGTTCCAACATGGAATTTAAATCACAAAGTTTTTGGACTCTTGATTTCCCTAAAGATGCACTGTAAGCCTCACCTCGCGCTGGTTTAGAAGTCTCTCCAAGTCAGCGGATAACTGATTGCGGGTCTTAACAAGATCTTCTTTTTCTGTTTTCAGCTTCCTGTTTGAAGGGAAAAAGTCATTCAATTTATGTCTTGATCTAATTGCTTTCTTGGGCAAGCAGTGGTAATATATAATTACCAGTAGGTAGCATCAATCTAAGGAAATACATTGTATGATAATCTCTATAGTAAATAATTATAATTATAATAATTGTAAAAGAAAGGTACAAGCAAGATTACTGTAAATAACCACACAGGAAAAGGACCAACTTATTTCTGAAGGTTCTTCAACCTCCCTTTACCAGAATGGTGAACATGACTCACCCGATTTCCTCCTCCATCAATGTGAGCTGTTCAGTAAGGGTCTGATTCTGTGTATCCCTCGCTCTTATGCTCTCAATCAGATAGTTGTATGGCTGCTGTGCTTCATTCAGCAGTGACGTAGCCTTGGAAAGCTACCAAAGAAAGTAACCTTAATTGTCTTGAATTTTGGCTTAGTACATAAAGTGTACTGCAGATAGCTTACATAATGTATTGTGACTGAGACAATAGCCACATATTTAAAGTAATGATTTTGTCTTCACCTCTTTTCCCAGCAAGTCTTTCTTTTTCTTCTCTCTTTCCATCTCATTTCTAAGTGAAGTGTTGGCTCTTTCCAACTGAAGAACTCTCCGTGCCAAGTGAACACTTTTAAAGCCACAAAACAGAGATTAGGAATCAATGTGAGACTTGATTCATCTGTCACCAAATTATTGTTCATTAAAGTGACAACTAAAGAGCAGCTTATTGCGGTAAAATAATGGCTCATCAGACCATAAAGCCAGACTGCCACCCAATCAAACATTTAATAGCTCATCTAATTATTACCAGGCAATTAGTTACTTATTTTGTTGGGCTACTGGTTGGAGATATGCACAGCCATGTGAACAACTGGGGCAATGGTAACTCTGATGACAATTTTCTTTCAAGACTTCAATAAGCCCAGTTGATACAACACAATAAATATTTTATTGCAGAGATACAACTAGTAATAATAACAAAAAAATTCCTCTTCAAATGGAAATTGGAGGTTAGCCTTATGCATGACAATTCCCATAAATAAAAAGCGTAAATGACATGTACAGTTTAAGAACTATACCAGTTGTACATGTATGGATCAGTCTTATTCATTCAATTGAGAAAAGCTGTTCAATTAGATTTCACATTAACAGACCAGCTACACCCACGTGGTCAGATGCCCACGAATACCTTTGCTGCATTCTCCTCTTTGCTGTACTGGGTACATTGGCACCATAGCCATAAGAGAACAGCACTCGTTCAGCCTCAGATTCATTCTCAACTACAAATTAAGGACACATTGTTCACAATCAACTAAAGAGGGGTTATTTCCCAGCAAAAAGACTGAAGCGTTCACAACTGAATAACACCCTGCAGGGTCCAAAATTAACCAACAGTCATTTTTCATTAGCAATGACAACCAGTGGGTCTCAATTCTGTACCTTGCTTTACAATACAGAATGAATACTATTTCATGCAGACAAGAAGTGATGAATACTATTTCATGTAGACGAGAAGTGATGAGAAGATACATATCAATAAGTAGATACTGTTTGATTTCAAAACAAATTATAACATAGCTAGTAAATTTGTGTAATCAAATTCAATTGCCCAAGCAAGAAGCTAGAGTTGCTCTCGACTACGCCTCGAGCAACTCTTACGCATCTTTCATGCTCTCCAAACTTCCCACATGCTTCATATCTCAATGAACGCTGATGTATGAACCAATTGTCAAATCTCAGAGTTCAAATTAAAAAAAAATGTATCACCCACAGTATGAAGAGTCTGTTAGTATTTGGATCTTGGAGTTGAAAGGAGAGGGAAAAGAACCCATTTCTGTGTAATGATAGTAAGATGAAAAGTTGTTGTTCCTTACTCTCTGCAGCCTGCATGATAACATCATCCAGTTCCTGCTCAAGTTTTTCATACACTGCCAGCTTATCTCCCTGTTCCTTACACTTTGCTTCCAGTTCCACAAGCTGTTTTTCTGAGGAGTTTTGCAGAGTGTAGTACTCTTTATTTAAAACCTTGAGAAGGGAAAATGATTGATATACAGTATTATGTCAAGACAACTTTATCCCTTTAATAACAAGGTCATCACACCTCACTCTTGCTCTGGTACTTTTCAGCTTCCAGTTTTGCTTGATTGAGATTGTTAGCTGTTTCATCCAGAATCATTTGCAATCTCTCCAACTCAAACTGTTTGACGCTGATCTCTTTTTGCAATTCAGACTGCCTGCTGTCAGCCGTCAACTGTAATTGTCGATACCTTGTATAGACATAAAAAGACAATATGGAGTAATCATAAAAGACTCTCATTGTAAACTGACACACGTCACTTATTGTTTGAACTCTACATTGGTCCTTGAAGTGTTCCTGTGTTGTTAAATTACATTTCCTTTTTGTTTGCTCTTGATTTTGATTTTATGTTTGGCAGCTATGCACTATTCTAATTTTTGCCACTCAATTTCAAAAATTGCTATGATTTTTTTTTCAGACTATAGTATGTTTCAGTGTAGTTGCATTCAAAGAGCTAGATTGTGAGAGAAAGTGTCTTAAAAGACTTCAAGTAATTCTTGAAAAGGTAAGCTCAGTTAATTTAAGAGAGGCAACTACATGTAACTTTCAAAAGCCTGAAAATCCTGTCCTGCAAACCAAATTAGCCTGGCTCTCACACTGAAAAATGGAACTCTTACACATCTTTGACATCACTTTCTCTGAATTCCTCTCTCTCTTGATCCTGCCCTTTGACTGCACCTCCTTTGGAGTGTAATTTTATAGTGGCTGACAGTTTAAGTGAGAAATAATTGCCATAAAATTTAGGCTTTAAATTAATTGGTAATTGCCATGGTGCATTCTAGCCAAAAATACAATCAAACTCAAGTGAGATTGAGATCAACATGTTTTATTCATAGTTAATGGAATAATTGTGCTTAATGAAAGTTAATAATTTAATAATGACATAATTACAGAATTGAGTGCATAACAATAATTGTGCACTGATTCTAAACAAAACAAAAAAGTAAGCTGGAACAATTCATTTACTTACTCAGATTGAAGGAGATCATATTTTGAGGCAATTTCCTTTTCACTAATGACAGCATGTTCTTTTGCCTCAAAGGCATTATCTCTTGCTTCTCTAAGATTTCTACAAGAACCCACAAATACTTCAATAATTATACATATAAAGTCATCTGGTTTTATTTCTACATGGCAATGATAAAATCACCCTCAATTGAACTGCTGTAATGAAACCTTGGTCATATGAAATTGTAAATTTTGTGAAACATCATCTAGTAACTGACAAAGTGACCAACTCACCTATTTTCCCTTTCAAACATGTCTTTAGTATCACCTCTTATCCTGTCCAATTCAAGTGAAGTCTTGCCCTTAATGTCATCTAGTTCAGATTTGAGTCTCAGTTCATATTCTGACTTGTATTGCTCTCTGACACTGATATACTTCTCATACAACTCCTCTCTGGCCTGTTTTGTTTCTCCAAGCTGCTGCGACATCTGCTCCAATCGTTCCTCAGCTAACGTGCAGCGGCCTCTGAGCTCTTGAAGCTGTTTGTTCAGATACTCCTTGTCTTGCTTCAGTAAGGCTTCCGTTTGTCTAAGGATTTGCAACTTTAAGTTGCAACAACAAAAAATCTCATGGATTAAAAATTAATCCCTGAAAGATTAAAGAGGCTAAGAAATCAATTTTAGATGTTGAAATAAGTCACACACAACTTGAGTCATCAACACACAATTTATCCCAAGTTTAGTTAACAGTTTGCACTATCATTGATTGTAATTTGATTGACTTACCTCCTTCTGTACTTCAAGCAAATTCTCTGTTTTTGACTTCAATGCAGCATCCAAAAAAGTATTATTTTTCTTCAACTCCATCAAATCCCTGTCTAAATGATCCCGCTCACTGAAATGACACATTAAATAGACTTAAAAAAAAGAAAACAATACTCTAATTGAAGCTAACAGTATCAAATGTAAGATGAAAGTAAAGAGGATCCTAAAACTTCCCCATTTTTATACAGATCACTCACAAAACTATTTTCTGATTATCATCACCTTCTGATTTGATCAAAGTTTGTAATTTTGTAATCTCCTTGACTAACTTGGGATTGTAATTTCTCCAGCTGGAGGCTGAGTCTTTGCACTCTTTGCTCTGTCTCTGCACGTGCCATGCGTTCATCCTCAGCCTCCTGAATATTAGATGGATAATTTCAAAGTTGGTTAGTAGCGAACTGTTGTAAGCTGTTATAGATCATTTTCATGTTACATCATCAAATTCCGAAATCCAAAACTAGTGAGCCACAAGACTTTTCATCCTCATCAGGCATAAGCATACTTGGTTTGGAAACCAGCGTAGTTTGAAGTTCAGAGTTATGGTGGTGAGTGACATGCAGCTCCAATCACGTTTGTGAAAAAATATAAATTTATCATATGGTTTTTAGCCTTTTTAGGAGTTAAAGAGTTAGGAAAGATGCTTTCATAAATGTCTCTGTGTTTATATCAGATAATCAGTGGACTAGATTGCCAAAGTAAATTCCAGGATATTTGAACTATTTTCCAGCCACCACGTTAATGCACCATAGAGGTGTACTAACATAGCAGCTCCGTACTGGGCTCTGCAAATTTGCGCAAAACATTTCTATGAATATCTGAAGTTTGGCCAGACAAAGAGACCTAAAACTTAGAGAGGCGTGTTCTTTACCTATCTTCTATAACATTACATCTTCTTGACCTTATTTATTGAATAGTTTTTTATTTATATTTTTGTTGTGTTACAGTGAAAACGTTCTATTCTTCTGAATAATGAATTAAGTGGATAAAAGTTGCTGATGATACTACAATTATCAGTTGAGTGAAGTGTGGTCACTCCAAACAGAGGCAATTCCCATGACATCAGTCAAAACAAGGTCATCAAACTTTTATCACCCCTCACTTAACTATAAATCATAGTGTGACGCTTTTGTCATAAATGAAAAAAGAAAAGATCGAATGGCAAATTCCATGAAATATTCAAACAGAGACAAATTTGAACAACTAATTAGAAAAAGAAAAATGGACAGTGATTGAGAGAGAAAACTGTACAGTGATAATTATTAATAAAAAATAATAATGGTAATTAAAAAATATTCCCATGGCTAGTAATCAAATTTTAATAGACGAATCAGATATAATAGCACACTGGAAGGGTGCCTGGCAGCTTTACATCATCAAGAACAAATTTTAATGAAACAATATAATTTTGATACTCAAACTGAAAGCTACAGGAAAGGAAAGGTACCACATGCTCTCTATAAACTACAAGAATTTACTTCACCTTTCGGAAAAAAGCAGTCTCCTCTTCTTTAGTGTGAAGTTGATGGGTCAAAGTTTCCAGCTGTTCTTGAAGACTTGAACATTCCAAAGCTAAAGGATGACGAGCTTCATAAACTTTAATCTGTAAGAGTTGGCACGAGAGATGATGTCTAGAAGCCTGTGACACAGGTAAATTTTTTTATGTTTGTTCTGTGTTGGGGGAGCAAAAATAAGTAGACCAGGGAAAAAAAAAGGTTGTGGAAGGGAAGAGAAATAGAGGCAAACTCAGCCTGCATAGAAACACAGTTCAGAAATTGGACAAAAGTTAAAAACAGAGGAAATAAGTCTCCTGCTACTGCACTATCTAAAAGTAGTGGATAGCAATCAAAAAAACATCAGCATATGCAAGATCTAACTAAGGGTATGGTTTTAATATACTCAGAATGAACACCCGTGAAAACAGGTTATGCAACTAACCATTACGAATTCCCTCAAAGAAAGTTCTTCTGAGTCTTTGGATTTCAATTCCAAGTACAGCTCATCGGATAATTGTTCAAGATCAATCAACCCTTTCCTATAGTCCATGGCTTTTTCTTGTAGCTTCTTGTTCTCGATTTCCAAAAGCTGCTGTCGTTTAAAGATTTTGGCCATTTCAAGCCTCGTTCGTTCAAGAGAGCTCTTAGCTTCCTCTTGTTGAAGTTTCAGCTGCGATTCAAGTCTTGCCTGAAGAATTTGTTTCTCGTGTCGAGTATCGCCCAAGAGTTCCTCTAACTCATCCACTTTGCTCAAATGTTCAACTTTCATGTTGTCGATTATGAGGTTTTTCTGGCTCAACTCGATGCGAACAAGTTCCAAGTCATGCAGTAGCTGTTTGCGTTCAATTTCATGCTTAGTTATTCTGTTTTCCGCCTCGCTGTCCACTTGAGTGGAGGAAAGAGCCGAGCTTGTCAACAAAGTTGAAGATTCAACGTCGGTTGTATTTTCCAAATTTCCAGTGATATCATTTTCCGTTCGCAACGTACTGTCACCATTATTTTCGCTGGTATGAGAACTTCTGGAGCTACCACTACCTCTCTGTGACATTTTAGAAGCCAAAAATAATGTAATTTCAGCGAACAACGGTAAAAGCAAATACAAACCGGACAGCCGCCATTTTTTAAATTGATGATAAAGTACGGGGTGTAACTATCATATAGTGAATCATCATTCATTGGAAATGAAAGGGCAACCTCGTTTTCAGGGACCCTGGGAACGAGGTTGAACCATGGATAGTGTGGACGAGCGGAAAAAAGACAACGCGGAAAAGCTTTCGGACAGAAACAGTTTCCCTTACATCCTCCGTTTTTAGCTCATCCACTCGCTCCATCACTCTTTTTTGCTGACCGAGAGCCTCACAACCGTTAGAGGCCTTCCAATGTGTCATTTAACAGTTTAATTCGGACTCTTGAAAAAAAAAGATTGAGAATATTTCCTTGCCGAGATTTTTCTCATCGCAAGTTTTCCTAACCCTGAAGCAATAAGAAAAGAAAAGCTGTTTTCTAATCGTGCTATTTCCGAATTGTTTTCCCTTGAAAGGTGGTGTTTTTCCTACACGGGGTCGAAATCGTCAACTTTAGTTCCTACCATCCTTTAATTTCGTCTCAGTATTTTTTTTAGGAAGGTGTGGGGAGGACAGGTTTGACGGGGAGGAAGAATTAGCCATAAATAGTAAGTTAGTATAGAAGGAACGTTGGCGCTGTTAGTCAGAGAATAAATGCTGACAAAGAAAATCTCACTGGAGGAATCTGGAATATTTTCACATGTTCCTGGCCATCAGAAACTATCCATCGTAATCTAACACATTACGAGAATGCGTGGCCTTCACTGATCTCTCTTGCAAAAATTTTATTTTTGGCCCTTGTTTGGCCGCGCAAAGTAAAGTTTCACCATATGAGGAAAGTCAACGGGGACTGTAAAGAAACATGAAATGAGAAGCAATCAGTTTTCTTCTCGTGCAAAGTCAGTTCTTTCAGGATTCCTCACGTTAATACGCTGTAGTCCAAACGAAATAAAACGAGTTCATCTCACGAAGCCAAAAGAAGAATAAAGTTGACCGTCTAGGTCAAGTTGGATGTTCCTATAGAGTCTTCTTCGATTGAGTGTTGAAAGATGATCCGTAATTGCTTTGGTTTTGCTTCGCTTTGACCAACGACTGACCTAGAAAACTCGCCCCGACTCGAAAACCAATCCTGGCTTGGTCGCCCGGTTTTTCGCGCACTTTTGGTAGTTTGCCTGTCTTTAATCTGACTTCCCATCAGCTTATGTTGACGCAAACCTCTGTTAAGATTAGCTTTTGTAAATACTTTGGTTTGGGTTTTTCGATAATCAATTGAAAACTGCTCTGGTCCAACAAAGCCATGTGAACTTTAATATACTTTAAAAGCCAACTAATAAGCCTCTGCATCTCACAAGCGCCCTCAGGAGCCGCGAAGGAAAACAAGATGGAACTAGATGTATTTCAGTGAACCATTTATTACTTAGGTTGTTGTAACTTTCTCTATAATTCGCAGCAAATACTGCACCATAACGCCTCGTTACAGTTCAGCAAATATGTTTACCACGTAAAATGTTCATACTAAATCTAAACCTGAAAGCGTTGCTGACGATGCAAGGGCACACCATCACGAAAATTTTAAGTATATACATATTTCTTCAAACGCTTTATAACTTCTTTACCTTAACTTATAGAAAATCTTAATCTACATATTCTCCTTGCTGGCCAAGCGAAATAAACCAAACCAAAACAAAAACCAAACGGTCGTTGGCAGCAAGTCTTATAGGCGACACAATTGCTCGTAAAAAAAACTAACTCAATCTTTCCTGACGATCAGGCAATCCAAATAACTCAATTCTAAAACGTTCGTCCTGTTGACATTCCCGTGTAATGTGGCGTCGTTGAGTTTACGACTGTTGACTGATGGCGGAGGTTGTACGTCTTCAAGAAACCGAGAAAAGTAAGCAACTCCTACAATTCATATCGCGATATGATCAGCCTCAAGCCCACTTTCGTGTCTTCTCCAAATCTTGATCAGTAGACCTTCTAGGTCGCGCGCGTATTGCCTCGTATTGAAAAGTGGACTACGAAGGCGGGCGTTCCATACTTTATCCTTTACTTTCTTCAAGCTAAAGAAACAAGAAAAGTAAAGTTTTTATTAACAGTGCTATCATAAACAACTAAGTTATAATACCTTACAAGAACCTACGCTGCGAGGATGACTAAAATTCCCACCCGTTGAACACCCTATGTATGAAGACTTTGCCAAAGTCAAAATTTTGATCCAAACATTTCTCTTGAAATGATTGACAGAGGATAAGTGATCACCGTGTTTAAAGGAACTTTTAACTAAGCGTGTCGGATTAGGACTCTAAGGTAGTCTTACGCAAAAAAACGAAAAACAAACAAAAACACACTACACCCCACTCGTCATTTACAGCCCAAAGATAAGGCGCATCACAGCTCTAAAAAACACAACACCTACTAGTTAGCGTCGTTTCCAAGTCGTATAGCAATATTTTCGTAATCTACTCGACTATTTGCTATCAGCTCTGGGCAGCCAAGTGCTGTAAGCTGGGATGAAGCTACTCGGGATGCCAATGTTTCGAGAGGAAGCGTCACCATGGGACATCCAGCCCACAAGACATCCATGCCAGTCGTGTGACCATTGCACAGAGGAGTATCCAGGCAGACGTCAGCCAGCTGACCACGACGAACATGTTCTTCTTTAGGCGCCACTGGGGAGAAGATTACGCGCTCTTGGGAAAGCCCCATCGCCATGGCCTGTGCTTTTAGGTTGGGTTCTCCTACTGCAGGAAATCTGAGCAACCACAGCACAGAGTTGGGCACTTCTTTCAGGATGTTCACCCAGCTTCGTAGAGTCGGCGGGTCGATCTTGTACAATTGGTTGAAATTACAATAGACAATGGCTTCCTCAGGTAGGCCATAATGCGAGCGCGTAATGATAGGTACAGTCGAAGGGATCCTCTCACCGCTGTCCTTGCATCCAGAGTATTCTCTCTTCTTTTCTTCGATCAATGCACCAACCTTTGGTGCCAAGTTTGGGTCGTTTTTCTCATCGTCGAGAAGCACCGCCGCAGCATGAGATGGTACTAAGCCATTCTTAGTTACTTCTGCAATCATTTGGTTACTAGACGCTCTCAGGTACTGTATAAGGTGCGGAAACATCTGCTTGTGGTCACCAACAAAGAATGTATGAGGCATGTAGGCTAGCCTCTCCGAATACTGATCAGCCAATTCGAGGGGTGAGGTGACTTTATCAGTGATGATATAATCCATATAAGGAGCACCACTCGTTCCTGGATAACCCAGCCACATTACCTGCAGAGATGATGGAAAAAAGTGCACAATTTCTACCCTTCAGACTCGCCATAACCACAAAAGTTCTTGAACAATCTTTGACTCCCAAAATTATTTACTCATCTACACTTCCTTAAGCATTCGTTAGGAGAATTTGTTGATACATCTATATACAACCGTCATAATATTTTTATTCCTTCCTTATCGCTTGAGTCATGAGGATTAAGGAAAGTATCATCAACTTAAGAAAATCTTGATTGTTAAAACAAATTCTCCTTGTCAGTCTCAGGAAATGTATGGTTGGTTTGGAGATTATGCACACTGATGTTGGGGTGGAAGGGGTTATATATATGTCGAAATTGTGCTGAGAAGTTCCACATCAATCTCTTTTGAGATGTGAAAAGTCAAAGACCTTTAAGAGGCACAATATTGTTTTAATTGAAAAAAAAAGTGCCATGTTAAAAAAGTGGTTTTTAGAGTACAAAGTATATCAATTTTCCTTGCACAAGCTCAGACCATTTAAACCAGTCAATCTTTAATTTTTTGTAAACATCACAAGGTACCAATTGTGCCCATTTCAGAAATTAACCACAGCTTGATAAATAATCAGAATTGAACTACTTTTTCAGCACATAAATCAACATCACCACAGTTTACACAATTACCTGTACTGGTGCAGGACGAAGTGCAAAGATTTCATTTCTGGCTCCTTTGGTGTAGCCATTCATGTTGACAAGGACATGAATGCCATCCGAATTAATGCGATCAGCAGCTTCCCCATGACAAGCAATGGATGACAGATCAACAAAATGCTCTGCATCTCCCTCAATCTTTCTTCTAAAGCTGGTGCTGTCGTCAGCAGTGAGAGCATAGCAGAAGATCTAGGGAATATTTATGAAGACCATAAGCAAAGTCACATGACAAAACTATCACAAGCCAGGTAAATTCCTACCAGGATTAGATTAAAAAAAAAATCAAAATATTAGAGTAGAAAAAGGAAAATAAACTTGAAACTCTAGTAAGTGTGGTCAGATGAAATGCGCAAGCATTCTATCATACTTCATAAATTTCCTTACTAAGTGTTAAGCCTTAAACCCCTATCATTGAATGATCTCTGATTTATCCTCTCACTATAACCTATGATTCAAATAAAAGGTCATGGAAATGATCACCAATTTAAAAAGCCCCTGGTTGTCAGAAATTCTCTGTTCCATTACCAAACAAAAAGGAGAGAGAACTGTGTGGAGGATGTGAATACCAAGTACTGATAGGGTATAAAAGGTTGACTCTTTACACCCTAACATCAGCATGTATATTTTCCATACTGTTCTCCGTATATTTCCACAGAGGCTGACAAGGAGAATTTGCTTCACAATCAAGAGCTGCTTTGGTTGGTGATCATCTCCTTTATTCTCATGACTTTCATGTTTGATTCAGGGGTGATATTGTGAGGAGAAATTAGATGCTAGCTACTCTTGAGGGCTAAAGGGTTAACTGCCCAAAATTCCACACAGTAAAAAACAAACAATCACTAACCTCAACCCTACTGTGGTCATGAAATCCTGGTACACTCTGCATCAGGTGAGAAGTAGGGTGGTTGCCAAAATCACTAGAAACGTAGCCTATTCTGAGTCTACCTCCACTATCCTTCAAAGACTTTGGATACAAGTAGGGTGGTTTGTGTAGAAGAGCAACCTTGGAAAATTCAGGATAAAACTGATCAGATAACAATAATCAAAACAAAACAAAATCAAACTTAACTTTCCCAAACTATGAATGTAGAAGTATCCAAATGCCGGTGCCTGACAGTCAACAGGATTATTATATTTCAAAGACTTACAACATTCCTGACCTCATAGAGGTTTTCCCTGGCTCTAGTCAAAGTTTTGGACCAAAAAAAAAAATACTGCCAAATACAAGAACACAGAGATGTAATTCCTGGTGCAGAATAATTCTTGACACATCTCCTGCAATTTCAAATCTTCTTGACCAAACCCAAGTAAAGAATCACTAGCTTACAAGGAAAAATAAAGTACATTTTTGTGATACCTTCTCCACACAAAGATTGCCATGTCTGTTGGCAATGTCTCTTCTCATTTTGTGTGTAAGTGGGTATAGCATACTGTGATGAGGGTGCACAGATGGAAGTCTGTTGTTCTCCAACTGGTCAGCTACAATTGACACAAGTTTCTTCATACGAGACTCATAATCTGTCCAGTCACAGATAATCTACATGGAAACAAACAAAATCAGTTTGGTCACAGAGTAAAGATACTTAAAGTTGTTCAATCTTTAAAACAGAAACAGAAAAATATGTTCACTGCAAGGCACTCAGGTATGTACTAGAGGAAAAGCAATTAATTGATATGAACTTAAAGTGACATCAGTTAGATTGGAAGTTCCCCCACATTTTAAGTTTTGCCTTTCATCAGTGGAAAGACAGGTTTAAAGTTTGTATGTATTAGAGACAGTGGATTAAAAAATTCCGAATTTTGCAGTGCAAGTGCAACCTAACTGTAACCTGTCACAGCTTAGCACCCTATCCCAAATGCAAACTGATACTTCTCCAAGCTTCACAATGAAGACTGGCCGAGTATGGTTATTGAGGAGCACTAGGTAAAGTACGTAAATATATCAAAGTGTAGGATGTACAATATGTTAGTTACCTGTAAACAATGAGCCAGGTTACAGTATGCATCAGGAAAGTTTGGCTTCAACTTTAGTGCTGTCCTGTATGACTGGATCGCTTCAGGAATGTTTCCAGAATCCTAATGAAACCAATAACGAGACAAACCCAACAACAATGCTTTCACAACAATGCATGACATAGCATAAGAACACTTCCAAATTGTAAAGAAAATGGGGAAAAGCTAGAACATGATGTAAATAACAATAACTTATCCACCACTAAAACTTGCATTCGCAAAGTTCGAGTTAGCTCACACTTAGGTAATTATTATGCATTGTTGCATCCCTTTTACCCAGTGTGTTGTACTTGCTAATAATTTATCATAACATTGAAGCTAAAAATCCAACAGAACACTTGCTATTTCTATGATAAATGCAATTTATTCCTCCTGCTCATATTTTTTTGTCTCATTTGTAAATCATACTGTGAGATAGCACACATTCAAATTTGAAGATTACAATGGGGGCTACTCACACAGAGCGCACCTCACCACATACCTTGTGAACTGATGCTAAGTTACTGTGCGCATCAGCAAAGGCTGGGTTTATTTGTATGGCTCTAGTGTAACACTGGATTGCTCCCTGGACGTCTTGCATTTCTTTCAATGTGTTTCCCATGTTGGAATAAGCATCAGCAAATGTAGGATGAATTCTAGACATTATCAAAAATTAATGAATGATCAATGCAGGAAGGTGGGGCAAAACATCTTGTTCTAAAATTGAACAAAATGTATCACTCATTTGTATTCATGTTAATTGGCCTTTGTTGCTGAAAAAAACTCACTGAATTCTGGGATATAATCGAGTTAAGACATCTAATTATCATTCATGTCTCAGAATAATAAAATTTATCAAGTCTGTAGCCTTACGGAACAAGAAAGAATGGCACGATTAAAAGGATTTAAGGGGGGCAAACTTTCAATCTCATAACTAGGAAAAAAGTATGCAAAAGCTTTATCTAGTATTAACCTGATAGCTTCCTTATAATGCAGCAAAGCTTCATGGAGCTTCCCTTGTTGTTGTAGAACACTTGCAAGATTTGAGTGGGCAGCAGCAAATTCAGGAAAGATCTGTAAAGAGATCAAAATACTCTTAGTTTTTTCCTTCTCAAACATGCACAAATTAATCACAACTGAAAAAAAAAATTACTAAAACAGTACCTCAAGAGCTTTGCAGTACAGCCTAACTGACTCCTCTATCTTGCCTTGCTCTCTTTTGATATTGGCAAGGTTGTTTAGAGAATCTGCATGGGTAGGACAAAGCCTCAAAGCTGTATTATAGCATTCTTCTGCCTCAGATACCTTGAGAAAGAGAGATGTAATCAACATATAATCCTCAATACAAATTATTCAACAAAAAACACCACTTGATTGTATTTCTTTTGAAACAGATAAGTATAAATATGGTGCATTAAATGGCAGAAGAATGGGAAAGAGCACACAATGCAGAAAGTAGAAAAAGTGTTTGGGAAATAAATGAACTACATACACAGCTGACCTTTCCTTGTTCCTTTAAGGCATTGGCCAAGTTACAATAGGCATCTGGGAAGTTTGGTTGAAGTTCAATTGCTCTTCTGTAAGTGTCCACTGCTAAATCAATAAGTCTGTGAGAAAAGAAAAGAAAAATAAGAATAATGATATCGAAACAAGGATGCCAGTAACACAAAAGAGTCACCTGCAAGGGAGAATCACTTGACTAAAATACTATTCTACAATTTCCTTACCCTTGTTCATAGTACACACAAGCCAAGTTTCCATGGACAACTGCATGATTGGGGCTCAAGTTTAAAGCTCGGAGGTATGCAGCAACAGCTCTGATGAAAATTGGAGAGGAAACAGACAGATTACAAACATTTCCACTTTAGCCACAAAATCATTCAAAATGGAGCCGAACTGTTCAAAACACACTAGCAACAATTCCTGAATCAGCTGCATACACAAAGTGTGCTATCATATCAATTTCGCTGAATATGAACACAAATAACACTGCCCTCACCTATCAAAAATTCTGGCCTCCTTTAAAACATTCCCTAGGTTAATGTAGGCATCAAGAAAATTCTGATCCAGCTGAACAGCCTTGATGAAACAAAAATAAACAGAGCAGAACATTAAAATAACATGTATGAAATTTACAGGTTTTTTCACACTGAAAGACAAAATCAGCTGACCCCTTTTTTTAATTTTGCTTAGGTCTCCCAAGCTAAGATCCTCACAGTTTTGAAACTTAATGTTTTCATCATAATACATATAAAGTAAAGATGCAAAAATTTCATCATCCCCAATGGCCCATGGTGCAACAATAAATCCCAAACAGGGTAAAAAGTTAAAACTAAATGCAGAAAGTTCAAATCAAATGTATATATTACATATCAACAATGGTAGGGTCCAAATTTCATACAAAATCATTTTAATTCTCATAGAAACATATAAATGCTCTGTTTTTTGTAGCATGGACTGGCTTATTGTTCTCGGAGATCCAATATGTTTACTTCCTCCTTAGACATGTTCCTGCCACAGCTTACTATTACCTTGCAAACTAAGGGATCCACCTGTTTCTGATGTCTACAATATATGTCAAAATTATCCTTGGTGCCTAATTTCTCAGCCTAACTAAAAACCTAATTAGCATGAGTAGTCATGCAACTCTTTAGCCATAAGAAACACTTCTCTGATCAGCAGTATTACCTTCTCAAAGTGATGAATAGCCAGCCATATTTCTCCTTGAGCATTGAACACACAGCCAAGATTACTCCAGGCCACTGCAAAACTGGGCTGTGTTTCTATTGCTTTCAAGTAGCACGCCTTTCAATTCAAAAATGAGCAGCAAAATGGGGGCAAAAAAAATTGATGGGAAAGGCACACAGCAAGCAATAAGAGAGCAGATGGCAGCGAGAGTAAACAGCAGAGAGCAAGAAAACAATCATAGCAAAAACAAGAATTACACAAAAACACAGGCAAGACAGATAGCGATAGTAGAGAGCAAAAAGAGACAATCATGGTTTTGTTCTCATCCTTTGTAACAACGCAATACTATTTCGATATTTTCCACCAACAGTTTAGTTGGCCTCTTGTTTTGTCCTGTCTTGGCTGAAATACAATGCTAGATTACAGTATCCATTAGTTCACAAAACACCTTGTCCCATTGGAAAAGCTTACAGATTTCTTCATCAAGATTGTGTGAGAGAACAAATACCTTGTCTTGCCTCAACACATAACCAAGTTAGAGGCTTGAGAAGTAACTATGTGGCAAAAGGCATGGAAAAATTGCAATCCAGATCAAGAAAAATTGGACCAACATATAATGACAGGATATAAAAAGGGAAAGTTCAATGTGGCAATGAATGAAATTTAAAACCAAGCCTGTGCCAATATTTCAGTTTGCAACTTCTTTCACCTCTAAGAAAACAGTCCCCAAATTTCCAGTGATTGAAAGTAATACTGCTTTACACTCAATACAAATGCAGACTTGTCTCAAATGAAAGCAGTAAATTATCCCATCAATTGCTGGAGATCGGGAACCATTTTATCAACGTGAGGAGACAAAACAAGATTTGCATTCTTCACATCAATCTACAAGAGCAAAGAAACAATAACAGTCAGCCTTGTCTTTCAAAATTTTTCCCAACCACTCAACATCTGATTCTAATAAAACAATAAGCAAAGCTCCTTCGTAACTGGGACAAGGTGTTAAATGGATAATAAGACCATTTTCTTTCTTTCCAAGGTATGAGATCAACCACATGACTTCCAGGAAAGGATGCAAGCAGACAACTCAATCCAGTAACAGGAGTTTTTCAATACAAAAGCTCCTTTGCCAGTACTTTGCTGCATTACTCAAAGCAATTAAAATGCAATCAAATTAACTTATCTCTGAAAACCTGTGCTCCTACCCAACATAAAAAATCCCCTATCCAAATTTAAAGCAAATTCAAAATTTTCATAAAAACTGTATTGAAAACTTCTGTTTCTGTTTGAGAAGTCTGTAACAGCAAACTGGGCAAAGCATGGTAGACAGGGAAAGCAAGTTTGGGAAAGGGCCAAAGACGTGCTTTGAGAAGTTCATCTTTCTGCAAACGGTTCCCTTCAGCCGGTGTACTCCATCAAGAGCGTACGTACCCTGTATAAGTTTACTGGGAGAGATAAATAAAAGGGGAAAACAAGGGCAGATTGAATGTTAGGGATCACATAAAAAAGTTGCACATTCCAACTTGCAGTCTAACCAACACAACTGTGCCACTTCTTGAGCAAGCTCCACCAGCAAAAGGAACATTTTGATAACCCTACCGGTTACTACAGTATAAACAGCTTAGGAATCACCATGACACATCAATTTTCAAGTGCCATACAAGGCAGCCAATTTCATGTTGAAGTGATGTGCTCTTCAAGAATATTGACACAGATATGTTGGTCTTGCCAACACACATTTCACAATCCATCCATAATACTTTAAATAATGACCCCAAAGCCCCAAGATATCCAAGTAACCCACCCATCCCACACAGGAAAATATCCAATTTGCTATGAGAGTATTTCCAAAAACCCTGCATTAGCACAAGTGTGTTATCAAACAACATCACTGTTTGATGTTAGAACTTTCATCAGCAAGACCATTAAATATCCTCCATAATTCACACAGCCTTATCAAAACTTGGGACTTCCAAAAGAGATAAACAAACTGGCAACTGTAACAAGATCTAATTTATGCTAATGCACAATCTATCATCACACTGCAGAGTATTGAGAAATTCACTCTCATGCAATTAGAATTATTCTGGTTTCATTAACAAAATTCTGAACATGGAGCACACACAGCTGAAGACGTCACCTTAAAAATCTTCTATTCCCACATTTAAAATATCAATAATCTTTGAGGACTGGGTGATACAAGTTTTAGCTCGTAGAAGGGAACTTTTTCTAAAAAGCCTTCCCTCATTGTGACATGTAATCATAGTGTGAGGACAACATACTTTTTTACCTCTTGGAAATCAGAATGATAAAATTGAGGTCACCTTGAATGTTGAAATTAAATTTGCGTGAGGCACACAAACTGTGAACATTCACAAGGTTGTTTCCAGAAGCACTCAATACTAGGGAGAGAAGGAACCTTTCATTGTCAAGACCAGAACGACTGCCTTGAATATGAAATTTTCCCCTTCTGTTTTCCAGAAAATTGGTAATGTACCTTAGCCTCCTCTAGCCTCCCTAAAGCCTTTAAAAGGTTACCAAGATCACTGCGTACACAATAGAGATCCTGTTCACAAAAATATAAAAAGGTGCTGTCAACTCCACATACCACAAATATTATTTAAACACTGAAAAAATAAATAACTACATAAATAAGGAAAGGAACCTTGATTTCATCGCCATTAAAAAATTAGAATCATAAAAAAGACCTAATTCCTTGCTTCAGTTTGGTAAAAGAAGCCATACAAAAAAATAATTGTCTAAACAGCACTCAAATAAAATTGCGAAAAATGCTACAGGCAAAAGACCATGAAAACTGTCATTGCTGAGTTAAACTACCTCATTCTTTGCTATACAAAATTAACACTATAAATAATCGAAGCTTTCAGCGCTTCTTGCAATATTAACAAATTTAGGATTCTCTTGAACCACTTGGAACAATATGGTGTACAGACTTAGACATTAGTCTGCGGTGGCCAATGGAAAGGGTCCAAAAAATATTGACAATATGCCAGGTACATTGACAGAGAAGTCAGTCAATCTAAGAGTTGGAATTATCAAGCGGAAGACAATTGTAGTATCCAAATGCCATTCATTACACTAAGCCATTTACTGCATTAAGAATACTCTCACTAACCAGGTAAGGTATGAAGGGAATTCATAAAAAAGTTATGTTCAGTTAAGTGAGCGACTATTTCGACAAGAAATTCAATTGACAAACACTAAAACGTGAAACAAAATAACCGACTTATTTCACATTCCACACGTCAACGAGATTGAACCTTCTTCAGCATACCAATATGACCGGAATTTCAAAATCCTGGCAAATATTAAGAAATACTGAAGACTGCGACTGCGGCTATTGAGATAACGCTTTGAGTTTGTCAAAGCATGGAAGACAAATAACACGTTTCTTCGCGTCAGATGTGACATTAGCACAAATTTATTTGCTCAAAACAATGAATGGAAAAGATCGCGAAACTTCAGCTGGATGGACGAAATTTCTCTCAGTCAGAATTATTCTCTTCATCATTCGCTGAGTTGTAACACACAGCAGTCGATTTGTCTTTTAAGAGCTTTAGATAAATCTCGCCGAGCTTAAGCCGTATTCTAGCGAAACAAACAACGAACGAAAAAGTAACAGATAAACTCAGTACTATACCGGGTTATACTGCAATGCTGTTGCATACGCATTTACTGCTCCTTCTAAATCTCCAGCAGCCACTAATGCCGCAGCTAAATTGATATATCCATCGATGAAATCAGGCTTTAACTTAACAGCATGTCGGTAGTTATCCAAGGCGTCCTTCAGCTGACCTCTTTCTTTATACACATTTCCTAAGTTAGAGTACGCCTCGGCGAGAACTGGATTTTGTTTGATGGCTAAGGTACTAAAATGCGCCGATCTATAGAAAATGAAAACAGAAAGTGCTAAACGATTTGAAAAATGCTTTTAAGGCAAGTTATCAAGTTGAGATACGCCATAAAATTGTAAGAAATGTTGGTTGTTGCGATCCTATCCTCAAAACAAAGTACAACAACAGCACGCAAGAAAATTCGGTTAACGACTTCGTGTACCTGTCTAATCGACGACATTGAAAGTGTATTGACGATAACAACAACAGAACTCCAGTGTTTTCTGGCTGTTGTCTCCACAACTGCATACAGATTTGTTCGGCACGATCATAACTGCCCGCCTGGTATTCTCGATGAGCCAACTCGGCCAGAGTGGCTGTTGAAAGAGAGAGAATGGGTTACGGTAAACACAATGAGCTTAGCTTACCGACACAAATATTCACGAAAGAGCATTCCCTAACCAGCATCGTCTAAAATAGTCGTTCCCATGACCATGACGATGAAATTGGCGGTAGAGAAACACAAAAGTTTCCCCTTTGAGATTGAAATAAGAAAACGAGGTCATGAAGAAAGATGGCGTGTATTATTGTATGCACAAACGCGACGTCATGTGCGCACACGCAAAGAAAAGACTTACCTCCATAATGGAACGATTCTGGCTGAAATTTCATTATTTCACATTGACGGAACCTTTAAAATAAACAAATTTCACTCATACCGAATGAGCTACCACTCAAAACCGCGACTGAATTGATGTACTTTCACTATCAAGGCATTCTCAACATGAACAGCCCCTAGAACTGCCATGATCAATATCGAAATTCCTAATAACCGCAATGCGATTTTCCAATGACGTAATCTTACGTTTTACCTAACAACCCCACGTGGTTGACAGGTTATTGTAAAGAGAAAATAATAGTCCATCCCTTTAATGTAGTACGATTTTTACCTCTAAAATGATACATAGCAAAATATTATGAATCATTTTATCTGATTCCTCTATCAATGATAAAACTTTAGTCTTAGAAAATAACATGATAATGTATACAGGACAGTTTTTGGGTGAAAGTAATTCGATAGCTTAGTGGTCAAGTTACATATTCTTACAACAGATGCTTTATAAAAAAGGAAGCCCTCCCTCATTTTACTCCGCTAATTTGTGAAAATTTCTTCAATATCCTACCAAAGTGCCTATCTCAATGAGAGTGAAGTCCGAAACTTCCTCAGCAGTCAGAAAAATGCATTATAAGTTTGTTGTGAGGTAACCAAAGCCCCTTTTTTTTGTGCACGTTCTCATTCCTTGGATCGTGTTTGTCTCAGCTGACATCTGGCCTTTTGACACCTTGCCGTCACGTGTCTGATGTTTGATTGACGTGGCCAATGAATAAAGAGGCCAGCAGTACCGAAAATATCGGGGTCACTTCGAGTGAAGAATTCGTGGTGTGAAGTTGCAGCTCTCTGTCCCGTGAATTTCTTTAAGGTAACTGCTGTAGCCCGTTGTTTCCTCTTAAGATGCGGTTTGGTCGTTATTAGTTCGTTGATTTTCTAAATTTTAGCGTTATCTCTGCAGTAAGAACGAAATGGGCGATAAACCAGACGTATCTGAGGTGTCAACGTTCGATAAGAGCAAGTTGAAAAAGACTGAGACACAAGAGAAGAACACTCTTCCAACGAAAGAAAGTGAGTCTTATTTCGCTTAATTTTCCTTCCTAGAGAAATATTTTCGTGAGCTAAAGCTGAAAATACGTCAGTAAAGCAGCTATTTGCTCCTTTAGGGGTGTGTCATCTTGGGAACACTTTGAATTCGAGAGCGACACGTTTTTAAAATTCCGTACTCATTATTGTATCCAAGCTTCAATGCGCAGCGCGAGTCCCAAGCATCTTGGCTATAATTTTTCGACGGGCTTCGTATATAATGCAAGCACCTTATCCGTCTTTTTGACACACCCTCTCTATTCTTTCGTTTCAGCAATTGACCAGGAGAAGAGCACCTAAGCCAAGAAATTATTGATCATAACCACTAGCGTGTTGTTAATGTTATTCAAAAATTTGTGTCCTTCTTTTTATGTTTGTGTCTGCCTTGGAGAAGTTGTGCGCTTATAGGGAGATGAAGTTTATTAGCATAAAGTTTGTGATCCCTAAATCTGTAAAATTCAATTGTAGTCAAATTTATGGGAAAACGAAAACCATCTCGTCGATTTCCTACACTTGATGTATTCGTTCCACTTTCGTCGGCCTAGACAAACATAAATTGTAGTGAAATATTTTTGCACATTTTAAACAATAAAGTTGAATATTGAACTTGAAATTTGGGTGTTTGTTTAGATTACTTTGCTGTTGCTGGGAAATGCGTAGAGAAATTGTAAAATAGTCTTTCGCAACCTTCGAACAATTGTACTAATCCTTTCTTCAACACACCAACATTTTTCTACCCAATTGGCTTGAAGTGCCCATTGATAGAGGTCGTTTACAAAACGACAAGAAAATCCCTGAGGACCTAAAATTATAGCTTTGTTATGCCAACTACTGCTGTGATTTTCCTAGCCAACACTTGAAAGCCTTGTGAATGTGAAAAAATTTTATAGATGAATTCCTTTTAAGGGAATTTTGCCAAGTGGTGTGATCAGCACAAAAAAAAACTTCCTGCAGGAAATGACAGTCAAGGTATTAGATTACCTCGGGGTTCAGTTTAAAATTTAATCCACATTTAGATGAGACTATTATTTTTTATTTAATTACATATTTCATCTGCATTGCAACAAGTGTTCAAAATATTTTAGAGACTGATCTGACATATTAGTTACTTGAAACTAAAATGGTTTCTATCTCATTAGAATTGAGTTCCAAACAAAAGGCAAAGAAATGCATCAAGAGTTATCTGATTAGGTAAGATTTCCACACAGCCCTGGCTATACTCATTATGCATGCAGATTTTGGATAAAGGTAACAATCAGGAAATCAGTAAAGTATCTCCTGGACTACTGCTTTTTATGGAGTAGAATAAGGCTGTGTGGAAATCTTACCTAGGATTAAGTTGCACAGGAAGTTTGTAAGAGTTTTGGCCATCATAGGAAGGTTGCTTGGCACTGAAATATTCTTCTCAATAGACCTACTAAACTTTTATTGTTTATTTTCCCAAGGAAGGTCTCACAGAAATTTTTGTCTTTGTTTTATGTAAATTATGCTTCCACATGCACACGAATAAGAGGAAACTTGTAAGATACAGTTCTCTAGGATAACAAATGATCTACACTGGAGCAACAAAACATACTTAAGCTGAAGAGGTCTATTTGTGACTTCATAGTTTCAAGTAGGTGAAGCTTTAAAATACACCGGAATGTAAATGAGTAATGCTCTGTTTGCATGAAGGGTAGTGTAACTTGCCCTTTGATCATTAGTGTTTGTGGGAGGTGAACTTCCTCACTCTGTAGGACTTGATGCAAGTATGTAACTGAACTAGCCATTTATGTAACGAATTATGTGTAGAGTAAAATGGTCACAAGGCAAGCAAAAGAGAAATTAACAATCTTTATTCGAAATTTCCAATTGTCTTGTCCATGTAAGATGAAAGTGTGAGTGCCTCAGAGCTTGACCACATTAACTCCTCAATGAGCATGCTGATTAAGGCAGCAGCATCTCGGGTTTGTTCTGTTGCAATGGCTTTCTTCAGTCCCAAATGTAACTCTTTTACGTGCACTTCACCCACTTTTCCATGGGCAAATGCAGAAAAGTTGGTGAGACATAGAACACAACTTGTAACTAGAACACAGACACATTTGATACTCACTGGCACATGAAAATCTGCTTTCTGAGGAACAGTGTTTCAAAATATAAAAATACATTCCTTGAGAAAGGGGACATTGTAGGCCTCCAATCTCCCCGAGTTAACATCACAAGATAGTAATTTTATAGGGCTGCAGACACTATGTATCGCTTAAGATTATAATTTTGCGTGAGATAACCTTACTGTGTCAGACAGTCTTCCAAGTGGTAGACATCCCAAATGCTGAACCCAAACAGGGATCTTATTTCTTCCAGCAGCGACCAACTAGACTGTTGTTTGCTAAGTACAGAATCCAGCAGGGGTTCACAACTTCAGACACCCTTAATGGAAAATGATGATATATATATTATAATCAATATGCCAAAGTTGTATAATTTGATTGTGTAGACGCTGGGTAACTCGGGAAAGGTGAAGGAGATCTTTTCATCAAAAAATGTATGCATCCTTGTATTTTAGTTGTTGGCTAGGAAACATTTTTATGAATATTTCCATGGCTTTTTATGTTTTTGCCAACATTGATTGACAATCCTGCTTTGTTGCCTTGTTGGGTGTCTGGGATTATTAAGTTAAACCTTATTAATCCAAGGAATTCTCTAAACACCAGGACATCTTTGTGAACAAATCAGTAATTAAAATGGTGGTTGTTTTGGTGTAAAACAAATTGATAGCAAATCATAAATAAAGTCAGCATTGGGGCCCTGATTGATAGATTGGAAGCTGAACTTCAGGATGCGTGCAGGAATTCATTGCCTTTTCCGCCTGAGAATTTCGGTATATGAGATCATTGGACCGAAGAAATCTGATCTGACCCTGTTCGGTTTTAGCTAGCTGAACAGTCGGCGCCCATACCTACCAGATGATAACAAAAAGCTGACTGCGAGCAAAATTTGCATAAATCGAAACTCGACACATCCAGACGTGTTTAAAACCATTTTCGCTTAAAATGAAAGCTGTGATCTGTGTTATACATAATTTATATCAGGCTTAAAACGCGGATTAATTGACGCGACGACTGTGTCGTATGATGTCTTGTGTTTTTCACAGAGACCCATGCGGAAATCACACTACCCCGTGCCACGTAGGCAAAAAAGTAGCGCAGTAATTTCCTGACTTCAACCTTTCAGTATATTTAAAAGTGATGGTTATTTCTCATTCGTTATCAGAAATTCCACTTTTGGGAGACGTCACAAACTGATTACATCTGCGGCATATTAAAATGGTCAAACCTCGTGTCTGCCATTAGCCGTGTCGCCAGTGTGATCATTTGTTTTGTCTCTCGGTTTCATTGCTGTATTTATCCAATGATTGGCGAATGTAACAAAGTTAATTGAGCCATTCGTTCAACTTTACTGTAAGAGAATAAAAACCATCATAGTAAAAAAATAAGATATTGATAGCTTCAAAGTATGGAAATTAAAATATAATATTTACTGAGGAAAGGAAAAAAATAGTTACATAGTATTTATGAAGTTGTCATTTTCGATGGAAAGAAAAATCGAAAACCTGTTCAATTTGTCGAAGAAGCTTTAGCTAAATGTTTAGAGTCATAACAGATATTGTTGTTTTAAGCCTTTTTTTCTTTTGTCTCTTGTCGAGCCAAAATACCACAAAAGGAAAAAAAAACTTCCTCTCGTATCTGACTACGCCCAAGAGAAAAGCTTTTTAAATACTTTTGGCCCTTGAGTGGCTAAAATTATCCGTGGTTTGACATCTCAAAAACATGTTTTTTAAGTCGGAGTAATTAATGAAAAATTGGCCTTCTAGACTGGTATTTGCATTCGAACGAGACTTCTTTTTTTTTCCGATTTGATTTTTTTTTACTCTTTATCATTTGTGCATTTATGTAATGTGATCAGGATTGAAAATTGACGAGAAGATTCCTGAAAGTGCATCTCTTCGTCTATTGTTTTCCTATTTTACGAAAGTCACGTATCTGGCTTGGCTGATCATGCAAGTGCATTCAGTGGTAAGCCAGCTTTCTTGAAATTTCCTACACTCATCGGAAATAGAACAATAGGCCCTTTTACAAAGCTTTGGGACCCCCCTTTGTAGTTTTAAAGTCCAAACATTGAAATTTTTTGATCATCGCAACTTTTGAGTGGCTTACACTAGGTTCATTTTGGTAACTATTATAAAATAAAGTCGTTTAAAACACTAGATATTTACTTTTGCTAGTCAACGTACTGCCGCAAAAAATGCTGAAAAATCTATTTCCGTTGAATTACCCTTGTTTTGCATTACCAGGCTACCGCGGCCGCGTATTTGAGGACTAACTCTATCAAAAGTTTAGAGATGCTGATTTGTTCGATGATTGATGAGCCCAAATTCAGGTCAATGTGCCCCCAGCGAGCCAATCCTATGCTCGGCTCTTTGCCTATCTGCAGTTAGTACAGGATGAGAAATCTAATCGGGTTGGATTTCGATTAATTCCAACCATAGCTTAAATCATAACACTCCCTAGTCATTGGGTCATTATTATTAAATCTACCATGTTGACTCCTGCTTCACTGTTGAACAACGACAGTCGACCAAGTTGTTGGAGGGGGAGAGGATAATGTAGCGGATATATCATCAGCAAAAGGAGTGGATCAAATCCTAGCGAACTGAGAAATCGCGTGATGTAGGCGCATGCAATACGAGCGGTGGACGGTGTTCATCCTGTCGTCACCTGAAATTAACTTGATTTGCTTGTTATGGTAATATCGTGGTTTTATCACCTGACCTTTATTGGCTGTCTAGAGATTTAAGCACATGATGTACACAACTTTTCTAACGTCACACGAGAGAGAAAAATGATCCCCAATTTGGTCCAAGATTAGTAGCAAAGCTGACATGGAAGTAATATCATATCATATATTTCAGTATCTTTACTTCCTTTATGGGAGCCCACGATTATTTAGCTCAAGGGGTGGCGACCATGCGTACAAGTGCACACAGGCGAACCGATCAGCAATATCAAGAATGTATTTTTAAACATGTTTATTCCTTTGATTTTTTGTCTGATTGTTTTTGTTATTGGCAGAAACAAAACACGGAATAGGCGACTCTCACAGAGTTCTCCTTATTACATCGCCCATGATGTATGCTGCGGAATCAAATATGAGAAACGCTATTCAGTTCAATGATGAGTCTCAAAGTCCAACTTAGCTACAGAAGTGACTGGAAAATCACAGATGACAAATTAAATGCCGAGGTCACCTGATAGTGAAACAAATATAGAAAAATATTCTCGGCAAGACTACGCAAACCACCAGTTTTATCTGAAATTTATTCTTCTCTCCACTTTGCGATTGGTAAGGCAATCTGTGGCAATCTGTTCTGTTGAAATAGGTGGCATCATGAGGGGGATGAGATTTTCACCTCTGGCAATAAATTAGCTTCCTATTCGTTCCCAAGGTCCTCTCCCTTCCTACCTCCAGGAAGACACGTGACCAGCCGCCACTAGGGTCCTTTCGCGGGGGTCCCCAATAGGATTTTCGGGATCCGGAATTGGGCGTATTTAAAGACTAGGATCCGGGAATTTAAAGCAAGAGGGGAGCGCGAGATGCGGGATTGCTATTATGAACGGGAATCGGCAATTTTGAGGAGCGGGACTCGGGAAATAATCACTTAAACGAACCGAGAACTGGGATGTTCGATGTCTGGCAGCCGGCGGCCGATGTCGAGAATTTATGAAGGAATTGATCTTCTCAGTCCATGAAAAGCACCAGGCACAGAGGCTCCCTAGCATTAAAGAGGTGGCCGGGCTGTTCAGCGACAATCTTCAGTTATTGCGCGAGAATGACAATTATATCAGTAGCGAAGTTGCCAATTTACCCTCAATGGCTCACAGGGTAACGTGATATGTAAGACTGCTGTGTCCATTGAAATGCTTAAGAAAGCAGCAAATTTCAGAATTATACCGATATGACGCTGTTAACATGCTGAGTTGCATGACACTAGACGTGAAGAATATTCACTCGGTTGTGCATCAAAAAGATAAACTGTTCACGGTGTTAAATTACTCAAGAAACTTTGGAAATGCAGCCAAAGAAGGCTTAAAGAGGGCAACCCATCGGGCGGTGTACCATATTACAGATCCAAATTCTTGGTATCCTGTACCCGAACGTGCCAGGATCCTGACGGCCATACCAGCAATAGTCAACCGTTACCACCAGTACCGATGGCACCACAGAGCATACAGAAGTTGAGGGACTGGGCATAAATAACAATGGCAAGAGCTGGAATTCCCCCGTCGTACCTCTATCAGAGAGTTATTCAGCCCGACGAACCGGTCAGCCTCTAACGCTCTGACTTCGAGGAGCAACAAGAAAACAGCGGGAAACGAGACGAAGAGGAAAATGGAATATTTGAGCACGATTCCCCGAGTGATGATGGTGACATTTCATCTTTGGAAAGAGAGGCTGATTTTCAACTCAGAAGAGGTTCCCGCTTCTGAAGAAGTATTCGTTTCAACAGCAGAATTGTGTTCAGTCAATTCTTCTTTATCTCCCTTGTTATGGAACTATGAGATTGCCGTCACCTTTTGTGTTTTATGCACTCGTTGACATTGTTATTCGTTTCTTTGATACTGACCTGTTTGTACTTATACGTTTGTCCGTGATCGAATTTTAACGGAAGGAAGTCGTTACCATGTCTAGAGCGTACGCTATTCGAACAATACTTGGAAAACTTCTAAAATGTACGATATCATCATTTTGATGAAAATAGATCAACATACGCCTTACGGTGTCCAAAGACTTCAACAGATCAATATGCTGGTTGAGAAAATCATCACCAACCGAAATGGCCCTCCTAAATATAGGAAATCGACTAGGACAACATTGTATGATCGGGATCGGGATTGGCCGGTATAAACCGTCTAACTAACCATCTCCTCAAAAAAGTACATGAACACTAGGGCTCCAAGCTGAATTTTCTTCAAAGTCACCATGATGCGGCCTTGCATCCTTACATCCTTGTCTCCTGAATTATGCTTTTGTGGCAATTTTTACAACGAAAATGACAAATCATTGATAGCACTGTATGGTAACCATGCTTTAACCCTTTGATACTTACGGGTGACAAGCATCTAATTTCTCCTAAGTCAAACATTCAGGTCATAGGAATCAAAGAAATGATCCCAAACTGAAGCTCTCGATTGTTACACAGCTTCTCCTTGTCAGTACCTCAGGGAAATGTACAGAGAACAGTATGAAGAAAATACATACTGATGTTAGGGTGCCAAGGGTTAAGATTAAACCGTAAAGGCCACTAAGAAATAAAATGGTTGCTTAATGACTGCCAAATACCGCAACAAGTTAAGTGGTCAAAGTGTTTTTCTCTTCCCCATGCATGGCGACTAAAAAAGGATCTCAGCTTGGAGTGCTGATTAATTTCCAGGTACTCAATGCTTTTTCCATTTTCTCTCTGGAAAACGTTGGAGATGACATTTCCGAGTTACTGGCAGAATCAGTAATCGCGATGGTTCAAATTCGTGTCATTGGAGCTCGATTAAGTTTCTCTACAGCGCATGCTTCGCGAAACAAAAGAGAAAAACAAAACTTTTCTACGTCCCTGAAGTTATACTAAAGATATGAAATAGAAGAACCATTGGAGAAGACGCAAAAATGTGAAGATATGATTGTTACTTAAAACGCAAATTGAAGAAGAAGAAAATTGAAAAAAGGATAGATAAATGGACGGTTGAAAGGATAGATGGATGGGCGAACGAATACAAACGAAAGAATCAATTTAACTCAACAAATTTTATCATATGATTTTCGATTTCATTCAAAAGTTTAATCATTTAAACCAGAATTTGAAAACCTCATTTTGTTAAAAAATCCATTTACGAAAAAAGAGGCTAGATTCCAACTAGTCCAACAATATATTAAACTTATTAAATGAACTACAAAATTTGGCTAAAATAAAAACCTCGAATCTTCTTAAAATTCCAAACAAAAGGGTGACAAAGTTTCGCGAACGAAAGCTCAGAAATAAGCAACTTAAATTCTGCGAAAATAAACAAGAAAAAATACACGAAAAATTTCCACGTCAGTTTTTTTATTGTCGAGGTTAGAGTTCTTTGACGTGATTGGCTAATTTGTGAAATCACGTGCGCCGTGCACACAAAGTGGGAAGAGGGAGGGAAAATTGTTACTTAAAAGTTAAAAAACGAAAGAGATTTTCTACACTTTTGTAATTATGTTAGTGATAAGAAGAATTTTAGGCGAGTTGTTTCACGAGCTCCAAAGATAACCTTTAAATTCCACTGGTTTATCACAGGATCATAACCATGTGGCCAATAAACAGTGGATCTCAGTGGAGATTATCATGTGATCAGCATGTGACATTACCTCGTCAACCAATCAGTGTCATTCATTTTAGGTTTCAGCACGCCTTTAGCGCGCGCGTGATGACGTCATAGTGGCTTAAGGTATAAAATTGACGCACGTTACCAGACCCGTCATTTCCCTGAAGCCGTTGCTTGAGTAACTTAGGCCGATTTTTCGCAAAGAATTGAAACTTGACAGAGTCAGAAATGAGATTCAGCAATGCTTGAAAGAGAAGACAAAGGTGAGCTAAGATTAACTGGTTAAAAACGTTTTCAGACTACATTTGATTTTTCGCGCTTTTGCGCTTTTTGGAACTCCTTTCAACTTTTTTTTCTTCAGCCGTTGTCCTTTATGACGTCAAGCGCGCGTTACCCAGGCCATACAAATTTAACATCTGTGCGAGATCTGGGATTGCGCATGCTGCAGTGCCTAGCGGAAAACCATGGTGACACATTTTACGACTTTGTGTAAGGCTCTAAATGTTTGATTTGCTTTCCAATAATATAAACTCCATGAGACGAAACAAGGACTCCCATACTTTATGCACTGCTATTAATATAAGTAGAAATCTCTCAATCAGCGAAATTTTAAACATCTTTTAAAACTTCCTCGCTTTTCTTTTCGATTTTTCTCGAGAAACGAACAAAATTCGACGATTGGGCTTGTTAAATCTCTCCCAAAACTCCTTTCTGCGAAAATACGAGGACTTAGCCGTGCGGCTTAGAGCGCTTTTCTAGTGAATGTCGCAAACGAAACCAAATTTATTGCGAAGGCCAATCCGTCAGAAGAAAGTAAAATACCTTTAAAAGAAAATGAAAGCTCAAGGAAAAACCAACCAGCTTGCTAAATGCCTAAGATAACATATTTAGAAGCAGCAGTTCAGCGATTGGTTTTCGGTATGACTTAATTTAAATGCGAATGGAAATCCATATAAGTTCTAATATCGAGTTATTTTAAAGTACAATCTATAATTTCTTTGGAGGTACTTTTAATCAAAAAGCTAAAGAATTGTTTTTGGTCTTAACCGGCCCTAGAGACTTAATACCAATCTTTCGCTTATTCCTCCTGGAATCTCTAGAATTACTTATTTGGAACCATGATTGGTTTTTCTTTTTTTTTTCCGCTTGTACTGAGGTCTCACCAAAACAATGTTTTTACAGGGTAAATTTGCTCTGACGAAAGGCTCACGCTCGACACGCCAGCTTTGAAATTCTTTACGGTGGCCAATTTACGTTTTAGACTCATCTGATGATACCAAATTACCCTGTTACACTCTCCCACCGACGCAGCACCACAGTTCCTTGAGAAACTTACACTATTTATTCAATTGTTTTGTGCAGCTGGTGATACTTTTACTGTCGCTTTAGTTTCACAACTTGAAAGAAGTCATTCTAGCTGCCAGAGGATCCTAGGAGGGTAAGCCGTCAATCGAAAAACAGCCCAAAAAAAAAACATTTAGCCGTTAGGCGTAAAAATTGACCAATTATAAAACGTTAACTCTTAAAAGTGACTAGCATCTAATTTCTCCTTACCATATCACCCCTGAATCAAACATGAAAGTTATGAGAATAGAGGAGGTGATCACCAACTAAAGCTGCTCTTGACTGTTAAACAAATTCTCCTTGTCAGCCTCTTTGGAAATGTATGAAGAACAGTAGGGAGATTATGCATACTGATGTTAGGGTGTAAAGGGTTAAATATTTTTTTGTTAACCATAACAGAAGAAATAAACGTAACCATCAGCCCTAAAATGGACAAAATTTTGAAAGCCGTCACCCCATTGAGACCTTCCCACTAATGTGATTTGAAAATTAAGTACAGTTTCCAGTTAATTTATGGAAGAAAGCGCTACATGCGGAAGGTCGATCCTTGTTCTCCATAAATAAACCGTCTACTCTTGTTGTAAAATGTTATTACGCAATAACCTTTAACTGTATTTCTGTAAACGTACTATTTTTAAACTTAAATAGAACACTGTTTCAGAAACACTATTGTTTTCATTGTTTTCCTCGTTCTTGTGTCTTTTTGTTCTCGATTGTTTTACGTCAACTGTGTCTTCCACACTAAGTAAGAGCAGGGAACCTTTTTTTTTGTAACTTACAATAGTATAATCGCAGAATGAAATTTTCTAGGCACAATTTTATCGAATTAAGGATATTAAGTTAACTGTGAATATATGAAAATCATAAAGGTAAACTGCGGATAAAGACGCGAATATGAAAGCGATCTTAGCAGTAATGAACACTACTTGAGGAGTAGTGAAAATAAGGCCCGAAAGAAAATACACGCCTGTAACTAGCTCCCAGTTGGCTTGTTAGCTCAGTTGCTACTACTGAGCTAACAAGCCAACTGTATACTGCACCGGTATCGCAAAGGTCGTGGGTTCAAACCCCGTACAGGCCTGAATCCATCCCATCCCATCATCCGAGAGGGAAGGACAACATACGCCGGGCACTCCTACCATGAGGGCAAAGGGGAGTTCGCGAGTGATTTCCTTCTTTGGATGAAAAGTCAGAAGCACTGCCATGCTGGGCAACCACGAATGAACTTCGTCGCTTACTCATCAGAGATATTTGAATCTATGTCAATGAGCTTAACGAAAAAGTCATTATATATCGCCTGACCGAGGGGGAGTATTTTGGGAGATCACATTGTTTTCAGGGGAACAGAGGGGAGAGTAGTCATCGCCAACGCTGTATGAAGAAGAGACTGACTGGCAATTAGCTTCCAATGAGAGGGTTGGGGTGGTGGTGGGGAATAGGAATATTACAGAGCCTGGGATAAGGAAAATTACATCGTGACATGAAAAAAATCCCCTGGCGCCCCCTACCTCCCAGGCGGGAAATAACAACCGGTCTCTGAGAATGTCAGGAAGATCAGAGAGTTTGGAGAGGCCGGAGGTTTTTGCCCGGGAAATCCACCCAACATGGATAGGGCAGGGACTTTGTTCGTGGACGTTTAGCTGGGAATTATGTATCACAAGAGAGTATAAATTCTCTTGTGTAACGGGAGCACAATCACAGAGCGTTCATACTTGTCAAAACTGTTGCAAGAAAGTTTTTCAGCCGAATCATATCGCCACAACATGTTTTGTACTAAATTACTACACTTGCTCTTGTGTGGGCCATCCTTTAAAATTAATATTTCGGAACGAGCAGATAGTTGCTTTAGCCCAAGGCAATTTATACCTTTTTAGTCAAATCAGGTCATGCGCTGCGCCTTAAAAAAGTTCTTTCCGGCTCTTTGTTTCTGACAATAAATACAACGTTCGATTCGGTGCACCAGTAATTTAGATCTCTGTTTCAACACGTAAACTTTTTTTCTCTGATTTCAAGAGGAGACACGCTTACAACATGTGACCACAATTACCCACAATCCCTAGCCTTTTTATCTGTGACGCGCTCTACGTAGGGATTTTTTCAAAATGGACCTCGACAAGGTCGTGTCATCGGTGTTAAACTTTATTAAATCTCTTTCTTCCCCTGTGCAAATCATTGGATTGCTTGTTATTGTAATAATTATTCGAAAAATTGTGCAATCTAGATTTAGGAAACCGCCTCCCCCTCCTCGTGAAAAACCTCTCGAACCTATGAAGAAACGAGACTTCACTCCTGAAGAGTTGGTAGAATACGATGGGGTGAAGCAAAAGCGTGTCTTGCTGGCTGTCAACGGCAAAGTTTTTGATGTCACTAGAGGAAAAGACTTCTACGGTCCAGGTTAGTCTCAAAAATGATTTGTGTTATTGAAATACTCAGAAATGTACCAGAAATATTTGAAAGAAGTTTGCTATCGATCGTTTTGTGTACGATTTGATTAGTTTGCAGTAAACGATGTTTTCTTGTCGGAAAATTTCAAGTTGCAGGGGTTACTTGGTTGGGGTACTCAGTGTTCCCTATTTCTAGTAAAAAAAAATGCAGAATCTTTCATGACGCGATGTTGAAGAAATTGCGAAATCCTGTCTGGGTGATCAGGAAGACGAAACTTGCAAACGGCTCTTGCAAACTGATGGCAGGATTCCCGTTTCAGATGCTTACTTTGCGGGCGTCATCTAGCCAGACGGCTTTGCTTTTCACTGAAAATAACTTATCTCCTTAATCATTGGCAAACTGAATTTCACGGCCATGTTTTTTAAGTACAAAACACTAAACCCAACGTGCTCAAAATTGGCGCTCTCTCTTAAGTTTCGTCTTTTGTTTGCTTTTGAATGCATTGTTATTTAAATTATTGTTAGGGTATTAAAAACGTTCATTCTTAGGACTGTTTCATGCTAGCGTATCTAATGGATCTCTGCGACTATGTGACTTTTCCTGTTTGTATGTTAAAAGTGACTGGTTCAAGCGCATCAGATTCAATTTTACAGTCACGATGAAAAATCACATCAAAATTGTGTTGGATCGAAGCACAGTATAACTTTCTTGTAATTCAAACCACTTGGGATGTGAGGAGAAATTAATAGTCGAGCGGATATAAGCTAACGGATTTTATGCTCTCAATATTCTATTGTTATGCTCTCAATGCTATATGGCGTGTTTTTAAAATTGTGTCATTCAAGGTTACTAGATATCTTCTGTTACAAGGTCAGGTCTTGGCAAGGGCACAGTCGTGATCTCGTTTTTCATTAAAAAAAATGTGTTTTCTGCTATGAGTGGTTTATTTTGCATGACTATGCAGTCATTTTTTGATAGTGTTTTCGTCAGTAAATGCTTCAAGACCTAGAAAGCACCTTGAAAGAATGTTCATGTTATTAATATAAGCAGCAGTGTGGTTTAAGTCCAGAATAAAGAGTTTAAGGCTGACGTTTTGATTGTCAGCCTTTCATCTTTTGCTCCGACAATGGGCTAGCATCTGAAACATCAAGTTAGGAAACTCTTTATGTTGGCCAATTTACATTGTCTACTCTGTTTATAAATCCAAATTATCTTGTAATACCCTCCACCAATGCAGCACCTCAGTTTCCTCAGATACTCACCCCTTTCATGAAGTCCTGAATACCCTGCTAGTTGAAATGTGGCTCTCACAGTCTTGAAGTTTTCATAATTGAGGTCTGATTGGGGCCACAATCATGGTCTCTTGATCAAAATAACTGTTTGTATTAGTATTACTTGACAGTTTGAGCTTTATTTTTAGTGATAGGTATCAAGGCAGAGGTTTGCAAGTTGGTGGAACTATTGTGTGTAAACTGAATGTTGTAACTGGATTACCATATTTTGCCTTCCTTCAAAACTTTTTCACTAGATATGATTTAAAAGAACAATGCATGTAAAAATTAGCAGCCTACTCTTATAACAGAATTGATCTAATGAAAAGTAAGGAATAGATACTGTTTTTTCAGTTCTTACTGCAAGTCATGGACCAACTTTTTCCACTCGGATTTATGGCCCAAGCCCAAAGAGCATGAGCCATGAATTGGCAATTCTATTGTTTTCTTGCTTGGGCAACTCTTTATAGGTCTCAGCTTGCTCACAAACATTAACATTATTTAGAACTTGTCATTCTGAACCTGTTCCCTATAAAATTGGAAGAAGAAACTTATTAAATAAAAATTTATTTTCTGATTAAAATGCTTGAGTCCAAACTGGGTAAATAAGGATGTTCCAGTCATATCAATTTAAATACAACATTTGGCTTTGAATTAAGCTAATTCCAACCAAAAGTGGAAATTTTCCAGTACTAAAAGCTCAAAAGACTTTAACTAAACTCCAAAAAAATATAGGTTTCTAGGAAATTTTGTCATAAACCTCATTGTCAGGTTCAAGTTCTCTGGATATGACAGGCTAATTAATCAGATCACCATGTTGCACACGAATTAAAAAATGAAAACATACCAAGAAGAAGGGAAACAGAAAATTGTCTTTCAAAATACATTCATGAAAACTTAAAAAAAAAAAACTTTAATAATACTTAATTGTAATTCCCTTGCAATCTTACAGGGGGTCCTTACAGTGTCTTTGGCGGACATGATGCAAGTAGAGGTCTGGCAACTTTTTCAGTCGGAAATGATGCTGTCAAAACTGAGTATGACGATTTGTCAGACCTTAACAGCATGCAGATGGATTCCTTGCGGGAATGGGAAACACAATTTTTGGAGAAGTATGACATGGTTGGACGCCTGCTGAAACCAGGCGAAAAACCCCAACAGTATGATGAATCAGAAACAGAGGAAGAAGATGGAAAAGGAGATAAGAAAGAACAATAGAAGATTGAAGAAGAACTCTCTAGGAATTTCGAAGGATGTGAAAAGAGAAAAGTTGCATGAGGAAACTGTGTCAGTGAACATATAGCCCAGTAGTTATACGAAAGAGAAATTATCCAATGTACAGAAGCATGTTCAGGAATTTGACATTTATTTTTAACAGTCAAGTGATACTTTGCTAGTTATTGAAATTGTTCATGAATGTGTTTTGGGATCAAGGTCAGTATCTGAGCAGCTGTGCACCTACCCCTTCCTAGACTCAATTTTAACCCTAACTCAATATTAACCCAAACTTTCTATAAATTGACTGTTACTGGGCTATGGGAGGGGTATGTGTGCAGATACTGACATTTATCTGTGTTTTGCATGGTGTTAGTCACTTTTAAATAGATTTTACTCTGGCTTTTCATTCCCCAGTCTGAAATAATAATAAGTTATTTGTCTTCTCCTTCATACTGGCCAGTGAATGTTAACACTTGAAGATAAGGACAGGTGAATGCATAGATCAACCAATAATGACCAAAAAAAAATGATTACTTTAAAGATATTAGTATTGTTATGTTTTAAAATACATGTACTATTGCAACCTACATCAGCTCCCATTTGGGTGTGAGTGAGTCTACTTGGACACAACATGTTTCAAGAGGTAAAAGGTTGTGTTCTTCACATCTTGAAAGAACAGATCATGCTAGGGACAAATACATAGGGATGTGCTTGTTACAAATGGGAGATATAGAGAGAATTCTTTGAGAGACAGGATGATGGCAAGAAGTCCCAGTAGCTAAACTGGAATTGTTCTTCACTGTCCATCTGTCTTACATGAGTGGTTGTCATCCCACATCGTCATTGTAACACGAGTCTCTCACATCAGTAGAAACTGGAGATTTACAGTAGAAACTTGGCAGCTTAATTTACAAAATTTTATTGTATTTCTTTCAATGGTTCAGGAATTTTCAGTTGAGTGTCAAAAGCCTGGAAAACTTGTGTCACAAAAAATTATAAGACGCTAGAATGAAACCAATCTTGGTCAGCTTTGTTCTCCTTGGTTTGAGGTTATTTACATATTATCTGATTTTCCTCAAATTCTTGTCAACCTCTCGTAAAATTTGCCTTTGCTCTGATTGGCCAGCAAGCATGCATGAGAACACACAAACTTATCAGGTAGGTGTTATCTTGAACTAACACCAAATTCTCATAACTAATTTACAAGGAAATGTGCAGTAGCTAGCAGGGAGAATTAATTACCAGATCTTGGGAGTTAAGGGGTTAGCAATTTCTTGTAAGATTAATACTAGAGTAAAGAAGGATGCATTGGGATTTTTTTTTAAGTTAACAACCAATTATTTTCAGATTACTGCCTCGGAAACAATGAATTATTGTACGTAACTAAATTCCAGTGATATTTAAGTGGGTGATTCAAGCACATGAATTAATTACGGTACCTTAGTATTTGTCTTGCGGACTTGACAGTCCTGTACAGTGAGTGCAGAAATCTTACGTGCATTGTGAATACTAGAAGGGTAGAAAGGAGAATCCACCCTTGAAGACATGAAGTGGGCAAAAGAATTTGTAGAGCAAGTACTAGACAACTTAGCTCAACGCTGTGGGTTTACTTTTGTTAAATAAACATGTAGTAACTTGGTTAAGTATTCTCCTAGTTTGTGCTTATTTACATTTCAACCCTTTACACCTTACACTAATATGATATTTTTTTGTAGCATTCTCTATATATTTCCTGAGTAAAGGGTGGCCACTGGTTTTAACCCTTTAAGAGTGATTAGCATCCAATTTCTGTTTACAACATCGTACTCAATCACACAGGGTTTTTCAAGAATAATGGAAATGATCACCAACTGATGAAGCTCTTGATTGGTAAACAAATTCTCAGTGTCAGCACCTTGAGAAATACAAAGATAACAGTATGCAGAATGTGCATACTGATGTTGGGGTGTAAATGGTTAATGTGCTAAAGTTCTCAATAGTGCAATAGTTTGTGACTAAAACATTTGGGCCACATTGTTCAAGTAAGATAGGTCCTAATTCAGGTTTGACAGGTATGTAAAACTGTGTTCCTTGCATACAGCCAACCTGTGATTAAATAAAACTCATTACAATTTTAACAGCCTAGCCTTACCCCTTTAAATCCATTAAGTGACCAAGACAGAATTTCTCCTTTCAATATTGATACAATATCAAGCAGAGAAGTGATGAGAGTAAAGTAAAATATCAATTATGGGATTAATAATTGATCTAATACCAAATTCTCCATACTAACATAATGAGAATCATTTGTCAAACAGTAAGGAGATTTTAGCTCTCAAGATCTCGTTAGTAATTCTCTCTACTGTCTGACATACAATTCTTATGATATCAATTTGGAGAGTTTGGTATTGGATCAACTGATAATCCCCTACTTGATATTTTACTTTATTCTCATCACTTCTATGCATGATATTGTATTGATGTTGTAAGGAGAAATGTTCTCTTGGTCACTCATGGGAGTTAAAGGGTTACCCTTTCACTCACAGAGGTGATTAACATGAAACTTCTCCTCATAATATCCATACATTATCCAGCAAACAGGTAATGAGAATACTGAAACTTATCAGATAGAAGTTGTTATCCTGATCTAACACCAAATTCTCATAACTAATTTACAAGAAAATGTGTAGCAGCTAAAGAGAAGAATGAACAATAAGTTCTTGGGAGTTCAAGGGCTAAGTTATGAGGGCAAAGTTTGCTACTCAAGCAGGTCCTTTCCATGCGAGAACTGTAACTGCACTCAAACCTCAGCCATTTTCTAAGTGGCTATTTGGCAATCAGAAAATTTGTACTCAAGCCAAGTGACCCACCCAACCTTGGCTTATCCCAGTTTCCATGTAGCATAAACAAACCACGAGTATTATTACTTCCCCCTGGATGGGACCCTTGTGTTCCAGCATTTCGTCAGACATCCCTGGCAATTTGCTAGTACCCATTTCTACTCCTGTGTGGAGAGAGGAACTGTGAGAGTTTAGTGTCTTGCCAAAGAACACAACATAGAGACCAGGCCAGGTCTCAAACCCAGACCTCTCAACTCAGAGTCCAGTGCACTGACCTTTAGACCACTGCTTCTTTAATTAAGATAATTTTCCAAAAATTCAAGATGCTGCATGAACCCCAAGACAACATAGGCATACAATGTATTGCCCTGGAAAAGCCTACAACTGAGCTCTTTATTCAAGAATCAATGCAGTAATGACAAGGCTTACAAAGGGGAAACAAGCAGTCCTGCTTAGTATGCTGCTCACCCATTATTGTCTTTCCTCCCAACACAATTTCCAAACAAAGATAATTTGGTTTTATCATATGAGTTGATAATGCAAATTGGCCACTGTAAAGAGCTCTGACTAACAAAGGGCTATTGCTTGAAACATCAGCTTTAGAAACTCTTAATAGTGGCAATTAACATATCAATTCAATTAAAAAAAGACAAATTATCTTGCAATATTCCCCATGGATGCAGCACCACAGTTTCTTTAAAAATTTACTCCCTTTATTCCAGACAGAGAGTATGCTTACAGAATGACTCTAATGAACCAAGTGCAAGATGCCTAGGTTGAGTAAATTTTACCACTCAGTCCCAGATATTTCTTTATTTTCCAGTACTAGTATCATTGACAAAAGATGTTAGTTTAGCAGTGCTGCTTGCTATTTGTCTCTGCAACAGCTCCTTCTTTAACTGATCTCTTCGTTGTTCCATCTTTTTCAAATTTTGGATTAGTTTATCTCTCAGTTCTTTTTCTTGTTCCTCAAGTTTTTCTTTCTTTCTTTTCTCCTCTTCCTCCCTTTTTCTCTCTTCCTCTTCAAGTTTTCGCTTCTTCTCTTCCATTTGTTTCAGCATTTCTAATTCTTTTAGTCTCTTGTTCCTTTCCTCTTCAAGTTTTTTTCTGTCTTCCTCTTCCTGTTCTTTCACTGCAGCCACACGTTGAAGAAGTTCCATAAGTAGCCTCTTGGCGCCTATCTTTTGTTCTGCTTTTTCCTGTTCCCTTTCCCGTTCTAACTGCCTTTGTCTTTCTTTCCGTTCAATCTCCCTCCTGATCCTTTCTGCACGTTTTTTTCTTTTCTTTTCTTCCCTTGCCCTTTTCCTTTCTTCTTTTCTCCTGATTGCATCTTGTAAAATTTTTTTCCGTTCAGCCTCCTTTCTTTCTTCTTCCAGACGTTCCATTTCTTTCTGTCTCTCTGCCTCCTCCTTTTCTCTTCTTTTCCTTTCTTCCTCTTTCCTTTCCATTTCAATCAACTTCAGCCTCTCTTGTTCTCTTTTTTTAATGTTTTTGGCTGACAAATGACATGTTCTGTCGAAATCCACTTGGATATTAGCAGTGGCTGCACGTCCTTCTTCAGAAATGTGCATTAATTTCATTCCTTTTAATGCTCCCATAGCATTTGAAAACCCTTGGTATTGATTATATTGAATAAAAGCATCAAAGTGCAGGTGTGAGCCGAAGTAAAAAGTTTGAAATTCATTGTTTGACAACTTCTGTCTGTAAGGATCCAAGATTGGTATATCTACGCATCGGATTTTGCCAAAACGACGAAAAACAGAAGCCAAAACATCTTCACTTGGTTTGCTCTTTGAATCATCGTCTGCAAACCACTTACACGGGAATCCTTTGATAACAATAGTGTCCGGTCTTTCGCCTGGATTTCGCTCGTCTAAGTTCCCTGCTTCCCTGAAGAAAGAATTCCAATCGTTCACAGAAGGAAATTTCACCTTCAGTTCCGCTGCCCGAACTTTGAGGGGTTCCGCGAATCCGCTTAATTTTATAAATTTTCCTTCTAATTTTGAAATAAATTTTATAATTACACCTTTGGTGTCTGTTTCTCCCTCAAAGCGAATGAACTCCATCGAAGATTCAACAACTTTTAACACGTTGAATTGGTCTGGTGCCACCATCGATTTTAACCTCTCCATTACTTCCCAGTTAGATATCGACACTCCAGCGACCTTGATCTCTGGTAAAGTGACATGTATGCCAAGTTTGGCCGTAGGTTTAAGATATAAACGCTGTGTAGCGCACAGCTCTGTTGCCTCGGAAGTGTCTCCACAAACTTGAGTCGCCATCTTGTTCAATACATTTGGTAGCCTAGCCTTGATAAAGAATAGCAACAAAATTTGTAGTGCATTGTGGGACACTTCAAACGCAATGGCGGACGTTTTGTTTGGTCTGGCGCGTTGACAGTTTCTTTGTTCGTTGGTGAAAAGCGCGCTGAAAGAATGCAACTAAAATGTCGCGCAATAATTCTTTTACTTGCGACGATTCGCCGCATGTATTTCGCACGAGATCAGCTGTGCTAAAGCTGCTAGAGCAAGTAAGAGCAGAAAAACCGTCTCTTCGTGTGATCTCAAAACCGTCGGAGCCTGTGGTAAACAGAAATTCAAAATTGAAATTTCCAGACCCGAAGAAGGATTGTTTCGTTAGTCTTAAAGTCAGCAGTCATAATGGAAAGCTCTGTTTGCCGATTAACTACGAGACTCTGGACGAGAGCGATCAGAAATGTTATGGTGGATTGAGGTACATTTTACAAGTCTTATCCGTAAACAAACTTGTACTGAATGGCAAACAGCCGAGATCAAACGAGTGTCAAGAGGATTTTTGTCGTTTTTCACCACTTTCAACACACAAGAAAGGCTCAGCTAAGAACTGCCTTGGTTTCTGGTTTCGGTTTTTTGGCAAAGATGCGACAATTCGCATAACTGTTGCCCTTAGGATCGATTTTGTGTTTGCTAGAAAGTTGATAGGAAAGAGACTACTCACAGATCCATTGTTTCAAGATGATGGAATGGTTTCAAGTTTAGAGTTTGATATTTCCACCTGCATGAGATCCTCGCTTAAGATTGCTTCAGAAAAAAATGGATTGATCAATGCCGCTAAAATTTTCCCCTCTCTGTATCTGAACCAAGAATACAAGAGAATTGTCACTAAATTTAAAGATTTGAGGCAGAAACTTAATTTCAAGGAATTGGACAAATTTTTTGCTCAAACATTGGAAAGGCTCAGTGATAATGACCTGAGAGTTGTTCTTTTCCTTGAGCAAAGTCAAGAAGCCTGTCGCAAGAAGCTTTATGAAAAGTCGAAACAGCTTCTCAAGCAAGCAGTTGACAGTACAGCCAAATGCAAAAACAAAACCTTGCTGATAGGCCGAGCTTATTTATATTTGTCATATGTCCATGAAAAAGATGGCTATCTTGGAAATGCAGAAGAATGTTTAACAATTGCCAGGAAAAAGCTGCAAACTTTGGAGGTGTGTGAAGACACTGGAGACTTGTGCTTTCAGGAAGGACTTATTTTGACCAGTTTTGCCCAGAAAATGCCTAAGTTTGCTTTAAAACTGATCTCAGAGGCTATGTTCAAATTCGAACAAGCTGCAGCAATATTTACCAATTGCCTGACTGTTGACAGTGCCCTGGACAAGTTGTGTTGCTCATACATAAGACTAGCCTCATTGTTGCTTAAACAGACCGCAGAGGGATCATGTTCACAACACAAGATTGATGTGTCAAACAAACATCTTGAATGGGTGGCAGGTCGTTTGGATGAGTTATCTGAGCAGACTAAATTCCATTTCTACGTTTGCAACACAGAGCTGCTTTACCAGAAAAGGCAGTTTGAGGAAGCTCAGAAAAGTCTTGATGTTGCTTATCAGATTGCCAAGGCTTGTCAGTTTGAAGAGCAAACTCTGTGGGAAGAATTACCTGAAAGCAATTGCTGCAGTGATCACTACTTCCAAGAAGCATCAAGTAATAAGGAACCAGCTGATGACTTGGTGGTTGAAAATTTTGTTGTTGATGATGTCTCTCCTGGCTATCTGGCTGATATGAGCTCATGAGTGATGAAAGGGGTACCATAATCTGTCATGGGTGGGAGATGTGGGGCTTTATACTGAAGCCTACGTGTAGCAGTACCCTCCCCCTAAGGTGAAATGGGAGCAAGGGAATGCCTGCTGTTCTTCTTGAAATGTCTCTATTTCAAAAGTTGCGCAAACTTGCCTCAAAACCTCTTCGTAGATCGCTGTCATCTGAAAAATTGACCTCCAAAGCATTTTGTTCACCATCTTGTTGGTTAGTATGAAAATAAATTACCAACTCTGGCCAATCAGAATTGACGAAAGAATCAACAAAAGGGGTTAACCAATCAAAAGTCATAATATATTTTTTTGCAAAAGAGTGACAACATGGAAAACAATTAATGTCAGGTTTGCTTAGGTGTTCCCTCATCACCTTGGGGGGGGGAGGGTACAGCTATATATAGGCTATTTATAGTGTTAACATATCTTACAATATTAGTTTTCCTTGCAATTCTTTGGTGTTTTTATATCCTTTCACTCCCATGAATGACCAAAAAGGAATTTCTCCTTAGAATTTTTACTACATTTTCAGGCATTCTCATCAACTGATATTGTATTGATGTTGTCAAGAGAAATTCTCTCTTGGTCACTTATGGGAGTTAAAAGGTAATGCCATGTAATTTTGGATAAGGAACATGGTAAGGTTTTGAGCTTGGTAAAGAAATGGTGAAAGATGTTCCTTGTGTCTTGTCACAAGCGGGTGACAAAGAAAAAATTCTGAGTCCCCATGAGGAATTGATCCTCAGATCTTTGGATTTAATGCTCTGTGGCTTAGTGATAGAGCACCAGAGCACTGAATCTGAAGGTCTAAGGTTCAATTCCTTATGGGCAATCAGAATTTTATTCTTCATCCCACGCTCCTGACAAGACAGAAAAAATCCTTTCTATACCATGTATGCTTAATTGAATATTGTATACACTATACAAGGCTTTAATTTTGTATTGTGAAAAAAAATTCATTTCTTTCTGGAATGGTTAATTTGCAGGTACATTAATTGCAAAGATTTTTATGGATGTTTTATATAAGGTGTTTCAAATTAACATAACAATTATGATGTACAATGATTCCACAAATTAAATTTATTTAGTGCCAGTATTTTTATTATATAATACATGGTATTCCTATTAGCAAAGCACTGGTGCATATCAATGTCGGAAGATATATTCCTTTTATCAGATCTCTCAAGTAGTACTTGAGCCCTGATTAGTCAATTTAGCAGGTCATATTCAAAGCTGTGTTTGAATTCAAGTCTTCTCTCTCCATTCGAAAAACAGAGACATGATAAATAGTTTTCTTAGTCCATACTGTAAGTTATGGAACACTATTTTTCCCACTTGAACTTATGGCCTACACACTTCATGCTTTGGCTATAAATCTGAGCAGAAAAAATTTGCTCTGTAACTTACAGCACAGACCTGCAACTCAGTTAGTAAGGGTATGTAATTATCTTTGAGATTTCCAACCCATGTGTTGGTGCATGTGTTCATTGTGAGTATGTCTGGAGCATGAATTCTCTTCTCAACAATTGTCATTGTCAGTGGTCAATCTGAGATTATTTATTTAAGTGTAGGAAAGTATTTAATGTCTCTTATGGAATACAGTCTGCCAAATCATATAAATATCTAGAAAAGCAGTTGTGTTATAGGATTTATATAAATTTCCTTAGATAATTATTTAGGTTAGAGTTATTGATTTATCAACTGAATTATCAGATGTTTATTGAATACCATTAATTATTTAGATCTGTATAATAAATATTTTAAACTCAATTCTTGCCTATATTTAATGAAGGGTTGGTTTGTTTCCTGGGATAACCAATTAACTCCAAAGATCTGGTTATTAATTCTCCCCTCTAGCTGCTACAAATTTCCCTGTAAATTAGTTACAAGAATTTGGTGTTAAATCAAGATAACAACTTCTACCTGATAAGTTTGATCATTCTCATTACCAGTTTGCTGGATAATTTATGGATGCAGAAGGGAGAACTTACATGTTACCACTAACTCTTAATTGATACAAGTCAACACAACTGATATGTTTCAGTATCTTTAATTAATTTCTTTATCCTTGGCATGAATAATTTATTTGATGGTGGTTCATATCTGTAATTACAGTACTATGTACATGGTATCTTATTCTCAAATAAATAGCACAAATAAAAATATTAAACGACATACACACACCACAATTTTCCAAAAACACTTGATCACATGTTGATGTGGTAGGTAAACACAATGCAAGCATAAATGATTAGGATGTAAGAAAGAAATAAACATTCAAGTTTATTATCTCCATCTTGAGACATTGTTATGTGGCAGAATTAAAATGGGACACATGTTCCACACATTCAATTTTGACACATGAACCACTTTTGCCATAACAAGTGGATTGAATGAAGTATGTATTCAATGCTAGCAGGGTCTTCTGTCATCTGAATAAAAGGGGTAAGTTTCTAAAGAAACTGGGGGGG